AATGTCTTGAAACACCATAAGAATTTGATGAAATGTGGAATTGTTGTGAAAAACAAAAGAGATTCCTTATTTCTTTTTCTTCTTCTGCACTTTAAGCATTATTCGACTGCCTGTCCCGTTTTCACATATCAAACCATCTTCTGCGTGGTCTTCCTACACTCCTTCCTGATGGGTTGTACTGCAGCACTTGTTTAGGTAGCCTATTGTGCTCCCTTCTTTCTAAACGGTTCTTCCAGTCTTGTATATATAGTTGTATAGAATCATTTAAACTAAATATATTTATTTTCTTATGTCTTCATTTGTTTGTGTATCTAGCAAAGTACGTATAAAAATTTAATCTCGGTAGATTCAATATTTATTTTTTTCTTTTTGAGAGAGAATGCAACTTTTACACCCATATAGAGCTACTGGTGTTGCCATTGTTTTTTAGAAATTCAATATTGTCTTTTCTAGTCTTATTTCTTAATTTCCGTGTAGCGTGCCGCACATATATATTGGAACTTCTGCTATCTACTTTTTAACATCTTGGCTCCAGTCCTAACTTATATCACATCCCAGATAAATGGAATGTGATACTTGTTATATTGTTTAGTTTTCCAGGTTATCTTTTGATATAATGGGATATACTCTTTTAAAAGCCATGACTTTCGTTTTTAGTTTTGATATTTTCATGTTATAATTTTTACACATAGATTTAATTGATGGAGTGCCATATGGAGATAATTTTCCTTTTCGTACATAATAACTGAATTCAAAATCATAATTCATAATAAATGATTTAAAAATCAATAGTTGAAACTACCAGTGAGACAACAGCACATGCTTTCTCGCGTTGTTTCGAACCTTCGCCAATTTCGAAAACTCAGAGAGTTACGAAAATGAGATCTGAATATACTTTTATTTTTAAAGTCAAAATTGGGAACGGGCTTTGAGAAAATGATTTTTTATAATTAGCATCAACTTCAAGGAGAAATTACGTGAAAACTACTTTTTTTTTCTTTCAAAAAATTGTGCCTGACCTGTTCAAAAGATCTGAGTTTTTAGAAGAGATTATATTTAAGAAAAAAATCTCTATCTTCAAAATTATATTTGTGCAATATTAAGTTTTTTCGATTTTCAAAAATAGTGATATATAAGTGGAAGAAAATTTCAAGAAAAAATGAAGTCTTTTTGAGTAAATTGCTTAAAAATTGTCTATATTTCACGCAAAATAACTCATATTTTAGAAAAACTGTACATCACCTTATTTCAAAATCTGTCCTTCAATAACAGATATCAGTAATGTAAAAAGTTTATCTTCAGTACTGTAGTTGTAGGAAGTTATTGAAAAAATTATAACTTTTGCAATTTTCAAAATATCCGAAATTTCAATGACAATGAAACCTGTGCCATTCTTGTAAGCGGTTTCTCCCATATCCGAGGACAAAGTTTAATCAAAAAAATTGTAGTAGCCGTGAATTGATTGAGACGCAACCCCCACTTTGCCACTTAATAATTTATGAAATTTGAAATGCCATTTACTAGACCATAGTCTCCCAATACGAAAACTATGTGAATCGCAGTTTGTGAGGTCGCTTCGTCACAGCCGAATTCATTTACAACGTTCCGTTTTGTCATGGAGGTTAATTGCGACGAGACTTGAGAAAGATAATAATGGATGATTACACCATAGCAGGCGCTGAACGCCCAAAACGCAAATTTTATAGACGAAATTTTAAGAAAAATATGAGAAAGAAATGTAAGCGGACAATCTCAAACCTGATTATCTACTCTCACGTGCATTATATTTATTGTGGCTATTTGAAAACATTTTAAAGATTTTTGGATTTTAAAATTAAATCTTTTATTTGTGTGGACAGAAGATTACAAATATTCAGCAGCGAAGGAAATGCAATGTAAAGGATTTCTTATGTACTCGATAAACTATGTTCGATTGCCATCACATAACAAATCATCAATATAACATTAATATACTAAATGGTAACGCAAGCATACGAATTTAATCCTAGTAATTTTTCAATAATTTAAATTCTGACATTTGTTGAGGTAGGTGGCTAAAAATTGACAACGGCGGTACCATTGGTAGAAAAAACACATTGGATATTTTTTAAAGAACAAAACTGATGGGAAAAAGTAGGTTCTTTTTTTTCTAATACGCCAGAAAAATGAACTTTCAGAAGGATGCCTATTGAAACAGTCTATAGCAGGGCTCTTGTTTTCAGCAAAGAAGAAACAGAAATTCTCTAACTTTCGGAATGATGTTTATGAGAACAATGTTGAGAAAGGTACACATTTTGTATTTTTTTAACAAACATGTAATGATTGTGCTGTTTTTGAGAAAAGGTAATTTCTGCATTTCGGAAATTGCACAATTTTGAGCTCATTTTCACTAATAACTTTTGTTTTCGAAAAACTTGTACTTACATGTACAATATTGTATAAAAACGCCCGTAATGTAAATACTTGTATTAACCATGTGAATAATATACAGTGAAAATTACATTTGTATAATTTAAAAAAATCTAAAGAATACATCAAGATTAAGTTTGTAATGTTATTCAGATTATGTTGTGTTGTCAGAACAAAAAGTTTAAAGAAAAAATTAGTCATTTTCGAGAATGTCTTGTTTTTCGTTTGTTTTTTTTTAAATATTGCCCATATATTTCTCAAAATTACGCGAAAACTAAGTATTCATATTTTGAAATATATATATATATATTAGTATCAGTATATATATATATATATATATATATATATATATATATACTGATTTAAAAATTGAAATTTGAAGAAGAGGTTTTAGTTCCAAGAAAAACCTGTCTTTAATACTGTACTTGTAGGACCCGGAAACAATTTTAAGCTTTTCAATATTCGACAATTCATATATTTTAATGAAACTGTGACCTGCGTAAAAAAATGGCCACTACTTGAAGAATTCAATGCCTAAGCAATTTCTTCCCACATTTTGTTAAAAACAACTCAGTTCAAATGATATCTGTGCACTCTGCCAAATTGGCGGCCTCGAAAACACTTCGTTAATGAACAGTTCCCCGCCGACGATCACACGCATTTCAGGCACAAAAATCAAACTTGGCTCTTCCAAATTGCGCCACGCTGTACCGCGTTCTTTTACCCTAAGAAACATGAAACTTGGGTGGATTAGATTTATTATTAATTATGCAATTGATTTTTAGAACTTGGTAGCAAAATACACTGAGTTAACATTTCAGATCTAGCAACTTAGGAGTCGCCCAAAAATTACGTAATGCAGAAGATTGGGGGAAGGGGTTTTCGGGAGCTTATGTTACGCTGCGTTACATAAAGGATGGGGGAATCAAAGTTTAGTGTTACGTTCTCCTGGTATTTATTTTTAAAACCTTTCAACATTTGCTGATAATAATTCCTTTTATTCAGTTTTATATTAAAGCATTACCATATTAAAAAATTAAATGAAAAATATAATAAATTAAAGAAGTAATATTCTATAAATTATTGCAATAAATGAAAATATTTTTCATCAATGACATATTGAATAAATATTTCGAGGGGGAAACCTTGTCACAAGCGTTACGTACTTATTAGAAGGAGTTCAACTGCGAGTTACAGGGGGAGAGGGGTTTTTCAAAATATTCCAAATTTACGACACGTTATTTACGCCGGGCCCTTAACAAAACTTACAAATTTTACATATTAACATGAACATTCTACCTCACCACACTGCAGACATTTTGATTCAATATAACATTGTTTTTGAATGTATAATTATCACAACTAGTCACCATATTATTACAATGGGGAAAAAATACTGTGGGGTAAGACGGTAAGGTTGTTGTTGTTGTTGTTGTTGTTGTTTTTTCTTGACAAAGATCCGTTGAAAGAGATATTGTATTGTTCAAAGCAGTGAAAAAGATATATGATTTTTTTTAAAATTCCCGCATCATTAGCATATAACAGTTATTTGACTGCTCTGCATGAAGTCATAGAAGTTAAACAATTTGAGACAGCACAGATTTCTGAATGGGTGACCATCTGGGACACGTTTCTAATGGCACCAAGCCCCTGGCCAAAGGGATAAAAAGGCAGGTTGTAGTTTTGAGAATAATTCACTTATTATTGCCGCAATCCTTTAGCCATGAGATGTAGGAATTGAAACAATTGCAGGTAACAAAAGCATTTCATTGCTAATTTGGGCACAATCTTGTGCGACAGAAAATTGGAAATGTTTCTCAGCCATTTTGACAAAATTTGACATTGTCTTTGGGGCTCCAGGGCAGCCAGGATCAATTTCCATTTTGCACAAACATTGAAAATAGTTTAGTGGCTAGTGTTGTCCACAGATTAACTAAACATTTTCAAAATCTACTTCCTTAAGATTACGACACCCTTAAACATGTATTTCTGTCAAAATCTCAGTGTCCAAATTTTACAGCATCATAACATTTTATCCAGATTATTTTGGATATGAGAAAGCTAACATAACAGTTTTTGTGTTCACGTTAATGTACGCTATTTTGGACTTGATTTTAGTTTGTTTGATTGCGGTTAGCAAATGTGATTATTGTTGTGTGTTTATACACAAGTTTTGTAGCCTCATGGCATCTCTTCTCTTCGAATGTGTGCTGGTAAAAAAAAACAACACCATGAAATTTTCCACTCATGAAATCTTACCAACTTATTTCACCACGAAGTGTGTAAAGTGCAACCAGCTCTCTGTCCTTGAGGTAATCACAGGCCTCTAGGAATGTATAGTGCTAAAATGATATTTCAACTTTTTTTTCACTATTTTCCCGATGTAATAACATAATACTAAATAGTATTATTTTGTAATAAAATATTTAATATTTGATATGCTTGAAAGGAAGCTCATAATAGGTCAAAAGCACTGAAAACCACATTAATATTTTCAGTAAAGGTTATAATAGAATCATGCAAAATAGGTATGTGGTGCTCAAAATCATAAGATTCTTTTAAATTTGTGAAAGTCCACAGATTTAATAACAAATTCACATTTCTGCCATAAAAAATTATAGTGATGAAATACAGTTGAGTACTGACTAATTGATGAATAGAACAAATCTCGTTTACACAGGTCTAAATTCTGAAGTTATAATTTATTATGATGTTAGGCATGTCAAAGTACTCTTTAAGTCTTATCTCTTCAATTTTTTAAACAATTGCGAAGGAAAAGTAAACAGATATTTCTGTTTCTGTACATGCTCCACACCACTATCAACTACTAACTAAAATCTTGACAGTTTTAAGATGAAGTAATATGTTATCTGTTCAAATATTTTACTCTGAAAAGTTAATAATTCTATGCATCCGAGAACCATTTCAAATAGCTTCAAAGACATTAGTGAAGATCAAATTTCAAGTGAATTCATCTCATTACTTGATTTTAACTTCTAGTTTAAATTCAAAATTTGACCTGCATAAATAATTGAGACTGTATTAAAAAAACAAAAAAAAAAAACAAAAACAAGTGATATAGCACTTAATATTCCAAAGTAGTATATCTGCAGAAAGAATATAGAAAATTCGAATTTCTCAAACTATTTAAATCCTAAAAAGAGAGAGAGAGAGAAAAAAAATTCAAGAGAATAAAAAGTACACAATGGAGAGTACTACCAGTTATTGTATTCATATAAAACTTTAAAGCACAATGGAAAATAAAACAAATTAAATCACAATGAAACAAACACAACTGATGGTTATTTAAATTTTATCTACGTTTGAGAAATTCAAATTACTGAAAATCACAGGGATGCTGCAGGTACAAGAATACTTTTTTTTTATAAATGTATTGAACATGATTATAAAACACATAAAGTATCTACAAATGAAAATTTATCATTTACAATTCAGAGTAAAAAAAAAATGTAAGGGCAGCATACTCTAGAAAAGAAGGTAGACATATTATATTTGCAATCTCAAATTTGTGTGTATTCGCTCACTTATACAAAGATTTTATTGCACAATGTTATTGAAAAAAGAAGCAAGTATTATCTTTCTTCATTTCTTTTCAGAAAATATCTTTACACAGTGTACATTCCACCTACACAGCAGTCCTAAAAGAAATTATTGCCTACAAACATTTTTTCAGGAATTAGCCCTTTTTGAACGTATTTAATAAAACTATTTCCAGATAAGAATCTACACTTCAGGCAGATCCAGCTTGTACATTAGAACTCAAAATTTAAGGCACTCCTCCAGAAGTATGCAATTTTTATTGATGTTACAGAAAAGTTATAAATGTTTTCTTTATTTAATATTGTATCAATGCTTAAAAATAATTAGGCTCTTAGAGATCTCTCATTTATCAATATAGCATTTCCTTGCAGTATTTTAATAACCGGTTGTTATTAGTAAATAAAATACTTTCTGTGAACTAATCCCTTGAAAAAACAAGAACACGTTTTTCACTAACCACAAAGAATTTGTAGCAATCAAGGATTTTAAATTCAATATTTGTTCACTTCAGTGAAAATGAAAAATTGGTTGTCAGCAAAATATAGGAATCCACGATTATCTTTCAAAACTCTTTTGTACTTTCCTTCCTATTTCTTCAAAAGACAAGCTGTGTAGATGAATATCTATGTGTAATAAAATTTGACAATCTATAATATCAATAATAATAATTGTATCAAGAAGATTATAAAAATAATTTAATAAATTTCCTTAGTCTTGGAGTGAATACAAAATGACGAAAAAAAGAAATTATAACTGAAACAAAATATGGAGGAAACACAAAAACCATTTTAAATGAAACGAAAATAACAAAACTCCATATGTTCAGAATATTTAAACTACTGACCAACAGGTCTATTCTCAATTCTATTAAATTTGAATTGCATATTGGGTCATAATTAATGCGCTGCTATGAATGTTTAGTTATTAAAATACTGTGGCATTTACGATGTTACAAATGGCATATATTAAATTCATTGTTTCACAACCATGCAGATATTAGGAAATTAAAAGTAACTCATTTCTTCGCCTTGAAATATTATGAATAAATGAAGTACTGAGTAGTTGAAGCCTCCAAAATATACCAACAAATGATTATTTTGTGGGAACAAAAACCAGTTATAAAGTGTTTCATGAAAATTAAAAATTACAATCCTCTACAATTAAAATACAAAGACCATAAGTTTTCTACCTGTACTAAAATATAAAAGTGGTATAAGTGAGCAAATACAATAAACAAAATAACATTAAGAACTGTGTTTCAATGTTTCACTTACAAGAAAATCATCCATATCAGTTCAAAGAAGGTATCAGCTCATGTGGTAAGAGACATGTCCAAAAAACCAAATGCATATGCTGACCAAGTAAAATTGAAATAGAAATCAGAACAAATCCCTCATAAAATCACTGCCTCATACTGACAAGTTTTGAGACTAAGAATACATACTACAAAAACAAAACACCTTACACTCAATGAATTACATAAGAATAATGGAAGTCTATCAAGTCAAGGGGTAAATAAAGGTTGGTGATATCTTGTTATTCAAATTCCTAGGTTATTAATGCTCTTGTGAAAAATGAAATTACACTAATTCAAGAAGAATCACAATGATAGATTTCTGAAAGACTTCTTTTTGTTGGAGAGCATAATGAAAATAAAACGCAAAAAGAGATGAAAAGTTGTAAAGAAAAATTATATTGACATTATTTTTCCTTTCTTATAATGTTAAAATATAGGTGATAACAATATGATAAAATTTATTTTGGAAAAATGAATTTTGTTTAACTTTTTTACATCCAATAATTACTCTTTGAGAATGGGGCAAAATAAATATAATGCAAATAACATTCTAACTTAAAGATCAAGCTTTGTGTAATCAAAAACAATTTTATTTCTTTTCATTTATGACAAAAGAAATTTTACAGGAAAGCACAATTAAGTTTATTGGCCTGATTGGTCAAGACAACTTGGTCAGCATATATGTAAATACTTGAGCACTGGGATTATAACCCATAATTTCAGCTACTTTTCAACTAAATTATCCATATATGTATATTTTTTTTATATATACACTCTACATTCACTCGTATATACAAGCGTTACAAGCAATGTATTTTAAAGCAACAACATGTGTTCAAATGACTTTTCAAACAAATAGAAGAAATTACAATTTTACACTACTTAAGCATATGGTTCTCATTTCTCCATAGGTCCTTTGGCTTTCCACTGTATGTCCATCTTTCACTTCTTCATATATCTTAACAAGATTTTATGTTTAAGACTCCAAAACTTCTAAGGTTCATTAACAAACGTACATAAGGAAATATTTTTTACTTTAAAAATATATAAACAAAAAACAAGATGATGCAAATAAAGATTTTCCTAAGAATAAATATGAGAATCTATAATAAAACAATATAATAATCACAATTTTTTCACAAACTAAACAAGTTTTCAAGACATTATTAAGAGAAACTTGGGGAACTTAAATGTATAAATTAACCAGATGCAAGATTTCCGTAAGTCTGTGAAAGTAACAAGTACAAGAGCGTATTTTGCAACTGTCTTTTATGAAGCACTCTAACTCCGTCCTTCTACATGGAAGTGCTCATGTTTGTGCACTTTAACACACATCACAGGCTGGATAGCTTTGTAATTGTTTTTGCATAAACACCAACACAAACACACGAGTCAATCACTGGTTTTCTATTGACCACACATCATAAGAAGCCCATGTCTAATGCATTATAAAGGGCTGCCGTGTCACTGTGGCTGGAAATACGCCAAAATGGAAAATTCAGCTGAAAAGAAGAAAGAAAAACATATTACAAGATGAAGATTGCAGAAATTGTACACAGACTATTAAAGACCATGTCAAAGGTTCAACTTGATCTCAACAAACATACGATGAATGCTAAACATACATTCTCAAGATTATGAAATAAAAACACTATGTTTTCACACAAGCAAACGTAATTAGAAAGAAGTACCACAAAAAGTAGAGTACAAACTAATGTATGAACATGTATCAATCACACAAGACAGACATTAAAAGAGCTCAACACAATTACTTTTATGGTCTGTTACCTGTTTGGCAGCCGCTTCTTCATCCTGTCCATCCCCGACTACAACATATGTACATTTTCGCCCAAACCGAGAAACAATCCTCTCAAAGCAACTTTCTTTGCCTGGAAATAAAAAAAATAAACAAAAATTTATCTTACAAATATCTTTCAATATTTTCTAATATAATAGTACAAGAGAGAAAAAACTGAACAGTAAGTGAGAATATTTAACACGTTGTGGCAATGATAAATAGCTGAATAATATGAAAACCATTAAAAGAAACTTACTTTCAGAAAACGTTAGTAGCACTTGCTTGAGCTTGACATTCACAAAATATGAACTCTCAATTGACGACTTAGCTAACGAGAGAAAATAATGCTCACTTCTAGATTAGCACAACGCCCATATTAAACCATGTTTCTTCAAAAGAATATTGGCATACAGTTCAAAAGTGTCATCAAGTTTTTACTAAGTAAACATATGTGAGAAAATTTAAGAAAGAAATGCTCAAATTATATCTTTTATTGTTTTTGTAAGATCTAGTTAAGGGTACATTTATATATTGATAACTTGTGAAACACAAATTTATTTTATTAGCAAGGTATTTAAATTTTAAGCAAAACTGTAAAATTACTTAATTTACTAAAGAATAAAACTGCTGTTTATGGTTCACATGTATATAAAGTTTAAAATATAAATTTTCAAAGCTGAAGGCAAAGTATGTGGTTATTCTACAATAAAAAAACAACAACAAAGAAATCAATATTAATGCTCACTGTTGAAGATCTGTAGAATGTGTATTGAGTTTCAAACGCAAGTACGTCTTTCTCTTAAATTTTTACTCGAAGATTGGATAGTGAAAAAAATATGTACCAATTAAGCATTTTTCGAGAGCAACTGCTTACCTATTTTTGTAGCAGAATAAATGTTCTCTATTGGGAAAATGCCTCCTAGACCGAAGAGCAATACCTTAGCAAGAGCTGGCACAAGTTGTGTAGTAGTCACCAGCACATTAACGCAGTTAGATCTGAAACAGTTGCATCACATACAAAATAAATGATATGTTGATGGGTATGGAAATGAAGTAATCCTAAAAGTCAAGATCAAGAATAATCCAATCCATCCTTAAGACAATTTCTCTCACCTGGAGTTGATCAAAGTGAGGCATTTGATTGCCAACGTAAGCCAGTTGTCCGTCACAGCCTCAATTTCGGAACGGAGCTGCAGCCACTGCTCTCTCTTGGTTGGCCCCAAAAGACCTGTGTAAAGGCAATAGCGAAAACACTTAAATTGGAAGCAATGGTTAAACATCAGACTTTACGTTTTAATAGTCTAAAAATCACAACTTTTGATCATTTTTTAACCTAACAAGTCAAATGAAAAGTTGCATTTTTTCTCAGAAAAATCATGAACATTCAAGAGTTCTTAAAATATAAACTCTAACAAACTGATGGGAAGACACTAAATATTGCCATTATCCTTTATCAAAACTATTTATCTCCTTCTCCAACTCTCTGCTCCACAGAAATCCTTCTCCCAAGTGGTCAGTCTGGCCCTTCTCTTCACTTGAAGATACCTCCCATCCACCTCCTTCAACCACCTACTAAACTTCCTCTCTTCGAATCATTTGTTTTACTTACATACATGCAAGATAAATTGTGAACAAACCACACATGATATGTCTACTATGTTTTGCAATTCCTATGATGAATGCACATCAAATAACAGAATTCATTCAGAACTAATAACTAGTATAATATAAACAATTCACAAATAAAGAAAATTAATTTTTGAAAATTGCAAAACAATAACCTTTTAATTTCAAGAGTGTGATCTCAAATTGAAAACTGGCAAAAATGAATCCAAATGCACTACTAAAATATCACAGGTAAATTAGAAATGTATTATTTGCGGTTTAATAATAATATCAATTCCAACAATGCATGTTTTGCAAAAGCTCAAGAGCTCATAAAAAAATATGGTTGCAAAATTTACCTTTTCAACACCTTCCCATACAAATATTTTTTATATTTTACATGCCTCATTTCTAGCTCAAAGTTAATAATAGTTCTTACCAAATTTGTTGATATATATCAAACACTTTTCCTGTGATTCATTTTGTAATACTTGTGGACACCCTCCCACAAAGAATATTTTCTGAATAACCTTAATTATTTTTTTAAACTAATATTTTCCCCAAGTATCAAGGTATCTGAAGTATCAAGGATCTCTGAAATGTTAAATTTATGTCCTTTTTTTCTATCCACTAAAATGAGCAATATGACACTTCAATTTCCTGTATACAAAAGATACACTATTTCTTCTATTAATTCAAGATCTTACCGCCAACACTATTTCGATAATTGTTGTACATGTCCTTGATTTTTCTGTATCTGAAAGCCAGCTTTCTCATCCAGTCAACACCTCCCCGAACACCTGATGCAATGCACAGATTCCCATTGTTGGCAGCAGCGTGAAAACCATCAGTCGCAAAATTGTACGTGCTTAAATCTTGCCCATTGTCATCTGACGATACATCATCTATGTGAACTTGGTCACAATCCTAGAAGGGTAAATCTGAATATTAATCACATAAGTTACACAGAAAACTATACTACAATACAAAACTTCAATTATTATAATAAGAATGTCAGCTTATGTTCAAAGATAATTTTCCTTCTCTTTATATTTTACATACACATAAGAACGAAAGTAATGTTATCTGACAGATAAACTTACTACATTAATTTTATTTTAATCACCGAGATATAGGATCTTATCATATCATTTTGATAGCAATCAATCAATGGGTAGTAATTAACCAGTTACATTTTGGGTTTTAAAAATGCAAGTAATGAAGTTTTATTATAATGCTTTTCAAGAAAGATCTAGTCATGCAGGCTGGCAGTACTAGAATCTACTAAAATATTTAGAAACATGCACAAGGCAAAAGAAGTAAAAGAGAGGTACTTTTAGGTGTTTTATGTTTATAAAAAGTGTGTAATTCTAGTAAAATATATTTGATTGAGAATTATATGTTTAGCCCAACACTTTGGCACAACAATGAGTTTCTGAATATTGACTACTTAGTTAATCTATTGGCACAAATATCAGACAGCGAAGCAATATAATGAGTAAAATAGCTAGATAGTAAACAAGTATAACTCAAAATACTTACCTCAACATCATTGAAGAAGAAATGAGAATCTGCCAAGTTGAACACCATTTCTTCCATTCGGAAACCAAGCTGGACAATGGATTGAGTATCCTTATGAAACAACGATAATACATGAATTTTTCACATGACACATTAAAATACTAATTTTGTAAGGTGCATTCTCCATTCACTCTCTATCAAGATATTTTTGGCCCTTCCTTTAAGTTCCCCCACCTGTAAGATTTATTACAATGCAACTAAATTATAGCTCAAATTCATCATCTCTCACTTGGGATAAGCTCGATAAGCCCTGACAAAAGATTAGTTTATGACATGGTCCAACATAACAGAAAAGTTAACACAACCAATAATGCTGACCCAATTAGAATTTGTAATAAAAATGAAAAGGTTTTTTTTTAACGGCGAGGCGCAGGTCACAAATCCTGCTCTTCCGCCTGACCACAAAAATAAGTAACAACATTAAAATTCTTTACAATAAGGAAGGGGAGGGCAAACATTATCATTACTCTTGGGAGTGTTAAAAAGGGACCAACCCAAAATAACTATATTAATGGGCAATCTGCCCATAAAACCAGAGTGAACGGATTGTATCAAATGTAAGTAATTTACCTTTCCATATCGTGTAGCATAAGAACCAGTGAGCATTGAATGAAAAATTATAATAGTTTCATCCAGGTCCCAAATAAAGACACGCTCCAAATTGCTTTCTGGATTGCTAGGTGATGGATTGTTCTGGCGCCTTCCTCGTCCTCGGGAAGATCTTGTACTTCCACCTTCACAAGCACTGTCCCTTGCACGTCGGCTACTACCGTTTGTTTCCCCAGTTTTAGCAGGAGAATTTGGTCCATTTTCTGCTATTGAAAAACTACTAGGACTTTCTGAAAAAGGCACAAGGGGTTTTAATGAATTATTTTTATTATTATATTCATAAAAAAATACTTTGAAATAGCATAGCTAACATGCATTTTCTCTCTCCCTTATCATATATTCAATGAGAAAAATACAGAAATTGAACAAATCAGACAATAAGAACTTGAAAAGCAATGTCGTAAGTCCAGACAAGCTCTTCCTGATGAACAAAAGATACATTTGGAGGGAGTGTTTAGGAATGATCTTGCCCCTACATTACAAACTAGGTGATAAAACCTGAAAATCCGATGAGCACCTCTGTTTTTATTTTCCTATTTGTTAATTTTTTTTTATTTTATTTTATTTTAAAAACAATAATCCATAATTTTAGATGTTACAAGACAGTGCAGGCCTGTTGCCACATGCCATCAAGTCCGGATTTACTTTAAGAAGGAAAATTCTACTCAAATTTTATTCAGATTTTTCTTCTACCCTTGAGGTTATGCATGTCATAAATACATCACATGGGATAGACTGTGTTACACCCTTACCAGAGGAAGTTATTGGGATTAAAAAATGTCTACTAATAAATATATTGTTTTGAACCCATGAACATCAGAATGATTCTAATTACATCAACCAAGGCTCTCTGTCATTTAAAATGCTATTCATAATTCACCTGTGAGACCAGATGGACCAAGGGAGCCAATGTTATAAGACGATGGAGATGTCCCGACTCCAAGGCTGCCACCTGTTGAAGGTGAGCTGCTTGGCGCATAGGGAGAATAGCTGGCAGGAAAGTAACTGGCTGAATATTGTGCAGCAGTTGCTTGGTGGCCACTGTAGGAATTGGTGTACCCACTGTAGTCCAGGCCCTGCAGAAAGGTAGTACATATTAATTCAAGTACAGACAGAACTGTAAATTGTCTGTAAGAACAACTGAACATTGTAAGGAAATAACTTCTTGAATAAAATTGACTTTGAAGAGGATTGTTCTACATAAAAGTAAATAATGTAAATCACACCATCCAAATTCATTAGATCAATTGGATCTAAAATGAATTATATATTTAATAAATGGTTTATTCATGAACAAATATGAATAGCGAATTACTGTACAAGAAAACAATTTGGGAAAAAAATAAAATAAAAAGTAAAAATGAACTGAGAAAATGTGCAAACTAATGAGAAGAATCCATAAATCAAAAAAAATACCTGTTGTGAAGGACTAAAGCCTTGAGCAGAAGCAGATGCAGAAGAGAACCCCACCGCTGCAGCAGCTGCAGCCGCAGCAGCTGCTGCTGCAGAACAGCTATAGTTGTTGTACGCAGGGTAGGCACTCGAAGACCCAGCAGCAGACGCCTGCCCATGATGAGTAGTGGAAGAAGATGTGGTTGAAGAGGAACCAAACCCAGTTGATGCAGTAGAACTGTAAGGGTTCAGGTAGCTGGTTGCTGAGCCTTTGCACTGCTGCAGCCCACGAGACCCAGTTCCTGAGTAGCCTTGTTGCAACATATTGCTATATGCTGAGCTGCCATACAGGCCTGAGGACCCTTGCGAGTAAGCTGCGGCTGACTGATTTCCATAGGCCTGCTGCATACTATAAACAAACATATTGGAAAGATCTTTAACAAAGTTTCTTCTCAAATGCAAAGGCCATTGAATTCGCAATGCAACACATCTGGAGAGATTACAGAACATGACTTGATTTCCCCAAACACTAAAAGATTTTCAAATTCTAGAATTGCACTTTATACAGTATTTTCCTCCAAAACTTAAAATAACACTGTACAACAATATTGATCATGCTAACATGAAAAAGTTTAAGCTTTATAACAGTAATATATTTTTTGAAATAATCTAATGTAAAATATTAAATTAATTACATCAAAATAAATTATTTGAACTTTAGAGAGTATTAGTCAGGGCATGGAAATTACCTGGAATAGTACTGCTGAGCAGATGAGGAATAGGCAGCATGCTGCATGGCGTAGTCTTTGGAGTCAGTGTAGGGACTCAGCGAATCAGCACCACCAGGGGATGAATACAAGGACTCACTCACTCCAGCACCTCCAGCTGATGTGTGACAGCTCAGTGATGTATCATTAAGGCCAGGTGATCGTACTTCACTTTTGATGACTGCAAGAAGGCATTAAATGAATTGCAAAACTAAATTTAATTATCAAGGATAAAATACTAATATGTTTATTATTGCTTTTATTGGCAAAACTGAAAACACATTTAAACAGTTTATTCTGAATTTCAAAGACGAATTATTTTTAAAAGAAGAAAAATTATTTATAAAATTAAAATGATCATCAAATGTCTATTATTTAATAAGTAAATATGATCATTAAAATGAATATTTTTGACAAAAATGGTTGTATTATCAGTATATGTAACTTCTATTCTTGGAAGCAAAAATGTTTGAAGTTAGTATATATTATTTCACACCATAATTTGGCCATTCATTTGAATAACTCAATATCTCAACACTTTCCCTCTTTTTGACAGGGGAGTGAAAACTGTTGGGAATGCACATTAATTAAAAACAATTTGCTTTACAGACTAAATATTCTTTTTTTTTTTTTTTTTTTTCGCATTCATGAATCTGTTTGAAGACAACATAAATGGTTGGGTAAAGCAGACAAGTAACCACTATAAAAGGGAATAACATCTACTTCGTTATAAAAGAGCATACTTAAAAGGGAAAAAGCGTGAGGTACCACGACACTGAATTAAACATTCGAGTTCTGCACGGTGTCTCCAACGTTATTTAGCCTCCTCTGTTATTGAAAATCACGCATTGGTTTATCAAGATGGCTCTGGAATATTGTTAGTTTTTACGGAATCCAGAATCATTTGTTTAGGTTCGCATTAAAATATAGAATACAAGTTGAACATCTCTTTTTCAATTATCGCTCGGTTAATTTCAAAAGATTTTTGGGGCTGAGAGCTGTGACGGGGAACAATTTTTCAAATAAAAACTAACAAAAGCAACACCTTGTCATCGGTTTCAGCTACTTTCACACGAGTCACTTCACTTTTGCCAACGAACAAACACTGCTAAAGTTCAAATATTACCCGCGCACGTTTTCTTAAGCCCTCGTTTCGCTCTTTGAAAGAGGAGTGGGGAGTTAGGTTATTTTGACACAAATAATTTTGTCATATTTGTAGTTCGTTTTTCGATGCAAAATAGTTTCATTACACGGGAGCGAACATTTCTGGTTATTAGATTTTGTCTTCAACGCTCTTTCGACAATTTATTCTTCATTGGCAAAGGAATGGGGGGTAGATATTCCGGGGCTCGAGAACACGTGCGCGAATAATAGTACATACACGCATTAGGAGGAACTCAAAACAACCCTTATTTGTTATCCTGATTGTAACAGGCTTCTCTTTGCTGTTTGGCAAGAATCGTGTAGTATCACCCCGAGAGTCCAAAAGACTACACAACAATAGTTAATTTGAACAAAGACTAGAAATATGAGACTTAAAAGGTATATCATTAATTGTCTAAAAGGCAAACTCAAACATCTATAATCAGGTTCATAATAAATACGACTCATATTATCGTACTCATATTACAATGCTGCATTATTAGCACAATATGTTTTGTAATGAAAAGAAGAAGAGTTCACACATTTATTAATCAATGGTTTGCTGCTATTATCAACATCAGTGGCAGCACTTATCGCAGAATGAATAGCCAAATTTATACGAAAATTGTAGTACATTGGAATTTTGACAAGGTTGTACTACATTCGTATTGTCAAGTTCTCTTTCATATTTCGAAAGTAGATCGTAGTCAAAATGAAACTTTCAAGATTTGCCGTAAAGTGCAAATACCCGACTGCAGCACACACTACGAACATTTTTTTCACATTAAGTGATTACAACCTTAATCCTCCGTCATGCACCGAATCGTTTGGCATATCTACTCTATCTTCCTATTGACCGAATGTAAGAAAGACTGTTGCCTTGCGACATTACAGTCCACTTTCACAGCGTACGATATCTCCTGTTCATAATTTCGGAACGCCTTCCCATAGTTCCGGGACGTAATACACAAATCCGCAAGATCCACCATGCGGAAGAGTTAAGAAGTTTTAGGGACCCAAAAATGTAGATGAACTGAAATGTTTTACCCCTAGATGTTGTTATTACAAAATTATTTTGACGATTTGTATACAAGGTGAATCGTTTCAACCCACTCCATCCATAATCTACTGCCTTCACCGAAGATATTAGTTAGAACAGAGCTACATGTTGCATGTCTAAAGAGAGCACATATAGGGCCTTCGTTTCTCGGAGTTTTGACATTGAAGTTTTCCATTCCGTGAAGATCAAAGTAGTATAACCCGACTTGCTAGCTGTCTTCAATTACCAGACGAGAAAAGGTGAATTACAGGGGCGTTTATCAGCAAAAGGCAAAAGAGATTTTTTTATCAAAACAACAACCATACGACGTTGATAAACAGTCGATGCAAGTGAAATTGCAGAACCTTCAGCACAATTTATATAGTGTGATTATTTGATTTATTGTTTGTAACATTTAATCAGTCTTTTTACAAGTGCATTAAAAGCGTTCTCGTAAATCACAGAAATTGCCTCAATACTACCTTCAAAGCATTTTTTTTTATCGATCTCGGTTTTCGAGTGTTATAGTTTTCGTACGATTTTGTTTACGGTAACCGTACAAAAATCGCCCGCCTGCCAGCGTGACTCCGACACTCGTTATTCAGAATCGAGCTCTCACACAAAGCATCCCCAGCGCTCGTGATCACTTCACTTTGCCGTTGATTCTCCTGGAGTGAGCATCACCCCATGTTCATCCGAAACATATCATAATATTTTTCTCTCTTGTTTACTGGCATCAACATAAAGCAGTGTCGGAGCGACTACTGGAAAAGCTAGCAAGACGCCAAAGAAAGTTTCGGTAACTAGTATAGAAAGTGAGTCTTTGGCGCACAAATGAAATGTTGTCGGACGAAGAAATACTGATCAGTTCGGCATTTTGAAATGAGTACCCTAAACACACTCTTGCTCGTGTTACGTACATAATGTTTTGTATGAATTAATGGAAAATTACAACAACATGTCATGAATATGAGACGGCACTCATGTCATCGCGAGGTAGACCACAGAGTTTTGTTTGCTTCCTAGTACCTAATTATGTTATACGCCCACGACTGCTTTGCGGTACGCCAAAGACAATGGTTATTTTGCAATGCGCTTACGCAAAGTAACACTTTCCAACCAATAATCAGAGAAGGAAAGAATTAGTTTCCAGGCAGGGTACTGAGAACGCATTTTTCGTTAACATTTTAGATCTGAAACTGTTTAGTTTACCGGATTTATAATATTTCTTACAGGAAATTACTTTCTTCCGTTTACGGCAGACTTAATCGAACTTATTGATCACAAAAACAGAGGTTCCCCGGTATACGTATATCACGTATTATTTACTAAGGAACAATACATTTTGACGGCTCGTGCTCATTTACGAAGACTACCTACTACTCACTCTCTCCTCGGATATTAGCAATCAGCCATCATACACAGCTGGAAGAGGCCTATGCGACCGTGGTCGCAAAGGAGGGAGAGAGAGAGGGGGTGGGGTGGGGGGTGAGAGAGAGAGTAGCGCTTTCCGCCATTTTGCATCATGTTGTCAGACGAGTAATGTTTATATGCTGAGAGCCACCAATGTATGCAAAATTAATATTAATTAGCTTTAAAATCCCTAAAACGCTTCGCCAATGCGCTTCCTTTTCATTACGACACAGATAATCGTATGATTATTGTACTAACGATGCAGCTTGTTAATATGAGTCGTATTTATTATGAACCTGAATACAGAAGTTTGAATTTGGTTGAATGGCTTTTAACTATTGTTTTCGTAGGCTTGATTGAGGTGGCCATTGGTGTGTGGGCTGTCGGGGTGGGGGTGGTCGCCCGCGCAGGGGCTGCGCCACTCACTGTGCTCCTCGGCGGGCAGCGACGCCCACGCGCCGCCCGCGGCGCCTCCGAAGCCAGCGGGGCCGGGAGAGGCAGCGGCCCCGTCATGCATCGCGTGGCTGCCCACGGAGGCAGCGCCGCCGCCGGCGACACCTGCGTGGAACACACCTTCGCACATTCACTCCGCAGCTTCAGTGGCAACAAGGCGCATATTTTAACTCTTCATGCACTATAAAGTTGTAAAACCTACTCTGAGAAACCCTGCAGTAGTTCACAAACGGACGGAATTCTGTGTCAAGGGACCCCAAGACGTGTATTTCCATTCAAAAACTCGAAATCCCATTTTCCCGTTTGTTTTTTTTACGTAACTTTCGCTATACTATGTTTATTACTCCGCATATACATACATGAGAAAGTAAAAAATATTCTTTCTGCAAGAAAAATCTAAAATGATGTGACTTATAACATCCATTGTAAATTACAGTATATTTTTAGTCACTTCTTAATTAACCCTAGAATTACCAATTAAATATTTTACATGGAGTCTTCTCTGTCATTATCCTGGACAATGGACTTTCTAATGCACACACTTATCTTAAGTTACGAGTTCTTTCACTTCACTACGAGACTTTAGTATCTGACATGGGTACTCAATGGTGATAACTGCTTACGAGGCGCTACTTCTGCATTTACATCATCCGCTTTCTCGCTATCCTTAGCCCCTAGCCTTTTGGCCATGCGGAAGGCGAAGTGATTCGATGGACTGGTGATGAAACTTTAAGACCGATGATAAGAGCATTTGTGAAAGGGGAGAGATCAACTCGTTTTAGCCACATGCGTCCACCGGGATTCGAAGGCCAGCGGCAGGCGAGTGCGTAGACCACCCGTTAACGAAGTGTAGCAAAAGGCGGAGAAGGGACTTGGGAGCCGAAGCATCGTTCGCCGCGCGCACTCACCAGCGTCGAGCTGTCCGGCTGCGGCGGCGGCTGCGGCTGCGGCGGCGGCAGCGGTGGAGGAGGAGGAGCCGGGCGGCGAGCCGCACGAGGACTCGGACTGGCCGCTGGCGGGGCTGGAGCCGTCGGCCGGCGCGACCACGCCGGCGCCCTCCGGGCTGCAACGCGCGCCGCGCGCACTCGCTTAGACGCCGCCCAACGCCCACGCCCCCACACACAGCGAGAGATAGAGATAGATTGATAGAGAGAGAGAGAGAGAGAGAGAGAGAGAGAGAGACAGACAGACACACAGAGAGAGAGAGAGAGAGAGAGAGAGAGAGAGAGAGAGAGAGAGAGAGAGAGAGACAGAGAGAGAGAGAACACAACTCTTACATATAATACGGTGTAAAAAGCACTCATAAGTAAACATATACATTACGAAATGAGGGGAGCCAATTGTCTATCAACAGGAACTTCCTTTTTATCTCTTCAGCTCTGAGATCTGCGTCCTCTTTCAGTACATGTCGATTTCCTGGTGTCAAATGTCAGATTTTTTTTTTCTTCTAACCAGCCAGATAGTAGTTTCAACACCTCTTTAATTCTTTCACTCACAAATGCCGTTCTCCTTTTCCGTCACTTCATTGCTATTCGCAACCTGCTGTTGATTCGTGTGGACCGTCGTTATCGTATAGCTCACAAATGTCCTTTAAGCACAAGACATAAACATGAAAATGAATCTCCCTTGAAGAAGAAAGAAAAAAAAGGAAGTCAACGGGCACAGTAAATTCTTCTGACGTATCAAATACAATGGGCTGTGATACCCCGTAATATGTTTGTCAATACCGTCTGTATTTCCGAACTCGAGGCACATTTTTCGCAACCTTCACATTCAAAGATAAATCATAATAACTACTTTACAATGAAATATCCAGACAATTCGCTACGAGCAGACATAATAATAAAATAAAAAGAAATATTATAATAAACTATAATGCTAACACAAACTCATAATGGTTCGTTTTTCTTCAATAAGATTCCCCCTTATTCGTATTCTCTTTAAATCTTATTTTACATCACGCCTCGAATTCGCTGAAGAGAACGAAGCATCTTCAGGACGAGAACAACACGCACAGTTCACGAATCAATGTCAGCGGCAACTCTAACGCAGCTTTTTCAATGCACCAGTGGAGCCGCTCAAAAAATAAATAAAAAATTGCCTTTGATATGCAACTTCCTATGATCGCCCCTCAACCTAAAGGGGGTCTCGAAGATCGCATTGCCCAGTTAAGGGTTAATGATCGAATTCCCCCCCCCCAAAAAAAAAACGTATCGAAAGTTCTTTACATACTTGATTTAAATTCTGGTAAATACCAGCAAAAACGAATACGTGAAAACAAATAAGCACAAGGCTAAGTGCGTAGGTTTGCTGGCTTCTGCGTTCTATTAAATTACGAAAACAGTATTGCAAAGCCTAGTTCGTGTTCGCGGAGGCGAAGGCCGAGAGAGTTTTCAACAGGTAGTTGTGGGGATTTCGCTCACCCTTACGTCAACCGTCATCACCTTTACGGTCATAAACCTGATCCAAACCGGACGATACCCGGCCAACCACATGCGCGAACTTTTGCACGAAACGGGAAGTCACAAACGGCACACATAGCATAACCTCTTGCCTATTTTCTCTTACAAAAGTATATCACCTTCCTAGCTAGAAGAACCTTTCTACTTCCTTGTAGTTTAGCTTCGTATCTCTGATGTGTATTCTAGAATTGGAGTCACTACTTATTTATGCGTGCTTACGTTTGAGTCCCGTTTCAGATACTGAATATACCACACTGGATAGATCAGGCAACCAGAAACGCTATATTCTTTTATGTGTGTTTTCTTTCAGTGTGTGAGTAGGAACCTAATAAATAGAGTGCAAGAGCGTACGCCCGTGGGCGGAGTTGCCCCTCGGGTCTGAGAGGCGGCGGCGGTCGCTGGGCGAGCGGCGACGTGGACGAATTGCCGATCGCTGGCGCCCAATTAGCGCGCTCCGTGGCGCGTTGTCCCGATGCCCTGATACCCCCCCCCCCACCTGACTCAACGCCGCGACGGTTGCTCCCCGAGAAGCGACTCCTTCCGGGCTCGCCTTAGCCCCCGGCCGGGAGAGGTGGCTCAGGGCATACACCGAAGTCACAGCAGTGCCCCTGGCCGGGAGGCCGTAGGGTTACGCTCCCGACAGTGGCACGATTTCCCCACTAGCTGCTCTGGTCGGTACTTTACACTGGTTTCTCCATTCAACGTCACGCGAATGCTGGAGCAGTACCCTAACAAATAGGCCATGGACTGCACGCCATCTTTCCTTGCTCTTCCTTCTCCTATACTTATACCTTGCTTGCACACACGCACACACACACACATTCACTCACTAACACGTACTACACTTCCGCACATGCCGGGCGACCGGTCGGGAGCTTAGAGCTTGCCCCGGCTGAGGCGGTGCCCCGCTGGTGAAAGATACCTAATTGAAAGAAAAAACGCTTGCTTATTTGGCGGGAAAAAGTCATGTTTTTCTTTATCCAATGGCTTCACATTAACTCTCGTTATTATAAGTCTATTTGCATCAGAAAAAATTAATAAGTCTGTTTCTTCACGTAACTCCATTTTTGTGGATGTGATACATTCCTTGAGCACCGACGAAACATATGGAATCGTTTTAATAAAATGTTTCCAGTTGGCCTTGCACACTGTACAAGTTTAGTAAGTAGCACACAACTTACTAAATATCTTAGATACGTAATGGTTGAATTCATATAAATCATACCGGAGCTCCGAAACTTTCCACCTAGGATAACCTCTAAGCTCCCGACTAGTACCGTGGAATAGTGCATCGGAGTGTAAGGGAGTAGGCAAGGGGAAGGAAAGATCGCGCGCGGCCCGCGGCCCATTTGCTAGGGTCCTGCTCCGCCCTTCACCTGGGAGATTTGGCTGCGAATGTTCGAAGGAACTACGGAAAACCATCGACCGGGCAGCCGGCCGCCGGCATTCTCCTCTAGTCAGCGGCATAATCCACTCTAGTTTACTAGCTGTGTCGAAAATCCTGCCGCCGCCGGGACTCGAACCCAACGTCACCGCGACCGGAGTCGCCGCACACAGCGACGATGTTGAGCTCGCTCACCGCCACGCGCCCACACGCGCACTGCGCCGCTCCTCACTCGGCCATGCGCGCAAAGAGTCCCACGAATTTTCTTTGCGGTTTCAAGGAATAAGTGCGATTTTTAATGAGCTTTCCTCAATACTTCAGCGGCGATCTTCAATCTAAGCTCTATGTATCTAGAATGCTCTTAGTGTTCCTGGAAGAATAATTTCCATAATTATGTCGTAATAATAAATAATTCAAGTGTGTGTGTGTGTGTGTGTGTTTTTCATTTCCTCGTCAGATTTGACTTTCCTGTGTTCCACTGCCAGTTGAATCATGAATGTATGATAAACGAGGCAACATTAATAGTGAATGCTGGATTGTATAAATGACAAAACGCCCACTAAGAAATTAGTGCCCTCCGTCATATCGCGCATAAAGAACGTGAATAACGTACGCATGGTTTCTACCATATTACCGGCATTAGAATGACAAAAATTTATCTATCTGAGCAAATATTACAGGATATTTTGAACGTTTGATAGTGTCCAATAAAGATACGTAAAAATTCAAAAAGAATTATGTCATTGTTTCTCCCGTGTTTTTTCAAGAATGATTTGAAAACGGTTTAAAACCAACGTAGATGGAGAGTCCAAGCAAGTGAAAAATCATATTCCGTAATAATGTCAGGAGAGAAACTTGCCAAACTGAAGCTACCATTATACTTGAGATTCTTTGCAGTCAATGGCCTGGATTAAGCTATATTATTCGCAGGCATCTAACATAAAATAATCACGGCAACGTTTGTGACTCAAGGAGCTTTCCTAACCGTTCCAGCCAGCTGTGAACGAGAGCGATCGCGGCACAGTGAGAACGTTGCAACTCTATCGCTATACTAGAGTTTCGATAAGGTTAAAAGAAAAAGCACGTGCTCTGCCTTTAACAGCCTCAGACGGTGCGCACGGGAAGGGAACAGTCGCCTCTTCGTTAGCTTGTGAGGCACTTGATTCGACACCATCCGTGGGAATTCTTGATAATTACTTTAATGCACGCTTGACTAAAGTAATGCGGAAATTTCTGACTGTAGTATTGGCCACAAAGGAGGCAAATTGACGCAATAATTTTACT